TACTACTGTTATCCTCCTTTTAAAGATCAGGACACTGAAGGCCATAGATGATTAGGTAAATGATGGACACCAGCTTGACCCCAAAACTGTTTGACTCCAGCTTCTTTACTTTTTTTTTTTTTAAGAGACAGAGTCTCACTCTGTTGCCCAGGCTAGAGTGCCATAGTGTCAGCCTAGCTAACAGCAACCTCAGACTCCTGGGTCTAAGTAATCCTTTTGCCTCAGCCTCCCTTTAGGCTGGGACTACAGAAGCCTTCTACAACATCTGGCTACTTTTTCTATTTTTAGTAGAGATGGGGTCTTGGTCTTTTTCAGGCTGGTCTTGAACTCCTGAGTTCAAGAGATCCTCTTGCCTCAGCCTCCCCAAGTACTGTGATTACAGGTCTGAGCCACCACGCCCAGCCCGACTTCACTTCTTTACTCTTAACCACAATAACATACTCAGCTACCTTAGCAAGAGACTTAGGGCCTTCCCTGGGGAGGTTAGTCTGAACAACCTCAGAAACATGTAGATGTCACACGAAATTTTATTTTAAAGATCATTTAGTAGTCTAACCCTATCATTTTGCAGATGAGGAAACTTATCCATAAAGTGACTAAATGTCTGTGTCCAAGATCAAACAGTAAGTTAATGATAGAGTCAGGGCATGAACTCATGTCTGGGTTCACCCTGGTCTACTGTTCCCTGTGTTATACCCATGGGTTACTAACCCCAAAGCTCAACTCCCTCCATCCTTCTAGAGCTTACCTGGGTGTGCCTCACGGATACCCACACCACTGTCCTTGAGGGTGCAGGGTCAAGTTCTACTATGGTACCTCCTGTGGGAGACTTTCTTCTGTCCCTCTTCCCCAAACAAACAGACTATTCATCTCCCTTCTCATTCACCATTCTACAAGTTGCGTCAGATTTATAAATATGATAGGTCAATCTCATTTATGATTTCATTTCATTTTCATAGTGAGTAAGACAAGCCCGAGTTCAAATTCAAGTTGCATTATTACATGGCTGGAAGCCTTTGACATGATCATTTCCCTGCCAGGATCATAGGCTGCTGGCACTGTAAGGCCCTAAAGTATCATGTGTATGGATGACTCCCCAGCATGCGCTCATGGGCAGTGCCAGTCCAGGGGGGCTTTTCCCTTGGGGCATGGTGATGAGTGAAAATAAAGACACGGTGGAGAGATTGAATATACACACAGCTCTGTGTGCGTGTGTGAGAGAGAGAGACAGAGGGAGAATGCTTTTCATGAAGCTGGCTTGACTTCCATGTATCAGTTAGTATGGCCCTTTATTATAATTATTATAAGATTTTTTTACTCTCACTTTGGAGGGTTGAATTATTTTGCAAAATGATGGCAGGAGAAGACACCATTAATGTTAGATCAAAATCTAAATTTGTCAACCCTATCCATCTTCTAATGTTTTTCGATATTTTACTGAGGGCTAAAACCAAAATCTGAGAAACTGTGCTTCAGAGAAGCTTCTCACCCAGTGCAGAATTCTCCTTCCAGTGTTGACGAGTCACTCCCTTCCAAGGAAGCTTAACTCATTTTTGGATGGTTCTCATCGCCAGAGAATTCTTTCTTCTATTGAGCGGCAGATTGGCTTCCTTTAATGCCTGCAATTAGTCCTAATCCTATTCTGTAGAGCAACACCAGCCCCTCTTTTGCATAGTTTCTTTAAATATTTGGAGGGCTGTCATGTGAGAGAGGAATCATATTGCTTTAGTCACTAGAACCAGGGACAAATCTATCTCACAGCCTCCTAAGAACACTGAAAACAGCAACATCAGGAATGAGAGCCAGCATTTAGAGAGTGCTTATTTGTGTGAGCTACTGTTCTAAGGATCTTACAGTTACAGTTGATAAAGTTATTCAGTCCTCACCGCTGCTCTCAGAGGCAGAATGTTCATTAACCCTATTTGACAGACGAAAAAGCAAGGCAAGGCATGGAGGAGTTAAGTAACTTGCCCATGGTCAACCCAGGATCAAAACCTATAGAGTGGCTGGGTGTGCATAGCTCAATGGTCAGAGTGCTGGCCCCATGCACCAGGGGTGGTGGGTTCAAACCCAGCCAGGGCCTGCTAAAAAACAAACAAAAAAACCCTGTAGAGTATGATTTCAGGGTCTGGAAACACTAGACTTTTAACCCACAGTTTAAAGATTAGACATCTTCTCTTACCTCTCTTTTCCACTCATCATTGTCAAAGTTCTTAATGTATAATGCCAGAAGCACATATAGAACTAATATGGACCGGTGGTGAGTCCAGAGTGGGGATCATTCTCTCCTCCACTGGCTACTGTATGGCTATTAGTGTAGCCTCAGATCACATCGAATGAGTCTGGCCGCAACCCTGTGCCTTGGGCTCATCTTGAACTTGGATTTAGGTCATTTCATCCTTGTCTTTTTTTTTTTTTTCCAAACTAAGTAACCCTATTCTTTTTTTTTTTTTTGCATTTTGAATGTAAAAGTAGGATTTGGTGTTTATATTCTTGTCAAATCTTTTTCTAGAAAAGATTCTGTTTTAGAAAAGAAGTAGATATGCATGGGGACATAAGATATAGTGATTTGATGGAATAGAGTAATGAGGTTGTGGGCAGTCTTTATTTCCGAAATTAATTTATGGTCATCATGATGATATTGTGCAAGAAATAAAAATTGGTAGAGGAAAAAATGGACTTTTTAGTTTTGGCCCATTCTTTCAGCTTGCTAAAAGCTTTATGACAATCATTTTTTTTTTTTTAAAGACAAAGGCTCACTATGTTGTCCTTAGTAGAGTGCTGTGACATCATAGCACACAGCAACTTCAGACTCCTGGGCTCAGGTGATTCTCTGGTGGACTCCAGGCGTCCACCACAAAGCCTGGCTATTTTTAGAGATGGGTTCATGCTCTTGCTTGAACTGGCTGGTCTTGAACTCCTAAATTCAAGCAATACACCCATCTCTGCCTTCCAATGTACGTTATGACAACCTTGACTCTGTCTCCCCAGCACGCTACCTAACTTTTTCATCATGTACACTTGGAACGTCTGCCATATCCTCTTCCAAGTCACTGGTGTCTCAGATGGACAGTTCTAGAGTTCAGGGATAGAGCATACAGCTCTATAAATTAATCTAGAGGCTTTGTATACTGAGATCACATAGTGTTCAGTTCTAGTGCATACATATAGTTAGTTTATAATAATACAAATTAGAACCAAGGGCTGGTTCTGGGGTGCTGGTTGTGGGACTCTGTTTGGAATGAGCAGGGTCCACTGCTCAGCGTTTCAGCAGGTATTTACTGAGAACCCAGAACGTGCTGGATGCTCTGCTGGGTTGTGGGAACACAAAGATGCAGCATGGTCCTTGTCCCCAGTAATATGCCGTCCTGTCTCTGAGGTACCTCCATGAGCTGTGAATCTTGATCTTGTCACCGGTAGTAGACAGCCCCAGAGGATGTGTCTTTGCCTGGAGGACATTGTTCTGAACTATCAGGACAATTTATTTCCATGAGACATCTCACTACGCCCCATGCCTAAGTCTTCTGAAATTCTACCTTCTTCCACAAAGTCCTTCTTGCCTTAATTAAAGGGAAAATACTAAACGGAGTTGGGGTGAGTGTGAGTGTGTGTGTGTGTGTGTGGGAGGTTTACATCTTGTCATTTCCTTGTTGAAAACCTTCAAAGGCTCTGCAAGCTCATGGGTCAGCCTGACTGCTCTTGCCTGACATTTCAAACCCTGGATGCTCTGGCCGCATCCTGTATCCCTGGTGTTATTCCCTGCTCTGGTATCTTCCTGGCAGACTGACCTCTGCATTGCCCCAGGACCTTCCCTGCTCCCCTACTCCTGGCCCTTGTTCAGATAGCCCCCCTTCTTTGGAATGCCCTCTCCCTTCCACCAGCCAAGTTCTCCCTGCTCAAGAAAACTCCCTTGAATGGCTTTAGCTCTTGTAGACTTCATGCCTCTATGGGGTGAGAATGAGTGTCCCTTCCACAGTCAAACTCAACTTCATAGACAGTCTTGTCTCTCTGACACTGCTCTGTACGTGTCCCACATCCCCAGGGATATGGGAAAATGCTCTTGTAACAGGATCTATGGATTTGATTCCTGCTGCTTCAGTGTGTGTAGAGCATGGGGCAAATGTCTGTACTGTGTTTAAAAAAAAATTGTTTTGCCCTAAAAAGAGAATTAAAAGTAGCCATTTTGAGACAGAGCCTCAAGCTATTCCCCCTGGGTAGAGTGCCATGGCATCACAGCTCACAGCAACCTCCAACTCCTGGGCTCAAGCAAGTCTCCTGCCTCAGCCTCCTAAGTAGCTGGGACCACAGGTGCCTGCCACAGTGCCCGGCTATTTTTTGGTTGCAGCCATCATTGTTGTTTTGGTGGGCCCGGGCTGGATTCAAACCCACCACTTTAGGTGTATGTGGCTGGCGCCTTAGCCACTTGAGCCACAGGCGCTGAGCCCCAAGCCTAGTTTCCTTCCTGCCCACATGGACTCTTTACCTCTACTTGAAAGTTCTCTCTTGCAGCAAGACTCGCATGTTACCACCATGAACAATGGTGCAGTTGTGTTGTTTGCTGGATTATTGAAGCCCTTGCTGTGTAGATTACTCGGCTTCTTTCACAGGGGCTCTCAGCTCTGTTCCCCTGCAAGGGGTGTCCCATCATGCAGGAGGCACCAGGAAAGGCTTATTGCCTTGGTTACTTCAGGACACTCAACTGCTACAAGTCTTTTTTTCTCTGTGATTCCTATAAAGAAGTGGCTGAAACTCCTAGGAAAGTGAGGCAGCAAGCAGATAGAGGAGGGTATGAGACTCTCTTTGTCCTGGTCAGCAACCTAGACAATAACCATGTTGCACAAGGAGTTCCTTGCAAGATTTCCCCACTCAGTGCTGTGGGCATAGGGCTGCCAGCCCCAGCCTTGCTCCTGAGCCAGACCTGCCTATGGGTTTACCCCATTCCTACCCTGTAAGATTCCAAATCTTACACAGTCTATAAAGATGTTTTCTTTTATTGACAGGTGAACTCTGGAGCAGGACTCTGAAGCTTTCTGTCCTCCATGCCGCTCGTTAGAAAAGGGGCTGTGAACTGTAAGTAACTTTGATTGGCGTTTTCCATGCTGACTCAATAAGGCTACGGGTTAAAGACCCCCCCCCCCCGAACCTGGTCTTTACCAGCCATGCATTGTGCACAAGAAACACTCAACAATGAGCTAGTCAGAATGTAAAACACGGTGGCGCTCTGATTAGATTATGTCTGAATGTGACAAAGAAGCGCTGTAACATGACATCCTATTTAATTAGACTATATCGATTGTGCGTTAAGGTGGACTTGATGTGTTGTGTGTGTCATGATTTCTGGAGAAGGAAACTCTTGAGTTTACAAGGCCAGCCCAGATCCCGGCCACCATCACGGTGGCTGAGGTTGGGAGACAGTGAGAGGAGGAAGTGTTGACTTCAGTCCCCAAATTGGCTAAGTTTACAGCCTGCACTTGCTTTTACATCTAGTTATTTCTGGGGATGTGTAAGGGAGGAGAGAGGAATTGCAGCCGACCACTTCCCCTCCGTCAGCCCAGGATAGCTCTGCCTCAGACTCTAGCTTTTGTTCACATTGTTTCTTCCCACTTGGTAAAAGTTGACCACCTGTAGGACCCGGCCTAAGTCCGCACTCTTCCAGCCAGAAGTGATTCCTCCCTCCTCTGGCCAGCAGGTTACTGTGCACTCCTGTAGGATAACATCTGGGATTCCCACATCTCTCATTTCCCCCGACGCCCTCAGCAGAGTCGCTGTTCAGTAACATTAGCTGGGGGCCCCACCCTGCTTCTGGGGCCACTGGAGGCTGAGACGCTGCTGCGGCGACTTTGATAGTACATTGGCTTTCAACCCGTCCATGGAATTATAAATGATTAACCGTTATCAGTGCACATCTTCACCTCTGTGTAAAAATAGATTGACTGTAATGAGTATTTGAATAAATCATAAGAATGGCTGCCCTGTGATCGGCTAACATCCTGCTGATGGCTGCCCGGTGAGTGAGCAGGGCGCCGGCCCTCCCGCCTAATGGTCTGAGATTCAGTGCTGGTCGCCTCTGTGATTGACGGGCCTGGGCTCCCAGGGCACCTCCTCTCCAGCCAGACTGTGGAGCAGTCGAAGCCCCCAGCTGGGGTGGGGGGAAGAGGAAGGGTGCCTCCCTCCACCATGTTCCAGGAAAGTCTGCTCAGGAGGTGGGGTGGAGGGGGCCGAAGGGCGGCAGACTGGAAGATAATGACCTTTGTGAGAATCGATGTCTCCTCGCATCGGAGGTTAGAGGGACCTCATAAGTCAAGTCAAGTATGAGGAGTAAGCTGAGCGTGAACCTTAATGAGGGCTGAGCGTGTAGGGAACTAGGTCTGCACATCCCCTTGTCCCAGAGGGCAGCCAGGCACCTCTGCATGGGGTCACCCACACCCAGAGAAATAGGGACCCTGAGGAACCAGGACAAGCAGGTTTCTTCTGATCCTAGGGCCTGAAAAATGGAAAGATTCAATGATCCTTCAAGGAGTGGTTTACCAAGGCTCCTGCAGGCACGAGGATCCTGCCATCTGGAGAGGAGGAGGATGATGAGGGGGAAGCAGGCTTAGAATGGTGGGGACCAGTTGAGGACGGAAGAGTCTTAAAGTCTAAAGTTTCAGAGAGATGGCCAGTGAGAGCTTGATTTAAGAGGGAAAAAGTAAACATTCCAATTTAATTCTGCTGGTGTCCCAGTTACTAGGCTGTGTAACAGATCACCCCCGAACAGCATGGCTTCACGACGGCTCGTGTAGTTTGGAGGTCTGGAATTCAGACAGGGCTTGGTGGGAACAGCTTGTCTCTGTGCCACCATTGTGGAGCCTTAGCTGGGGCAACTCAAAAGATTTGGAGTCTAGAATCATCCAAAGATTCATTCACTCATAATCCTGGGCTGAGACTTTGGCTGGGGCTGTCTCAACCAGACCCATTGTGACCTCTCCATGTGGCCACAGCTTCCTCACAATATGGAGGCCTGATTCTTGAGAGACAGTAAAAGCCAGGGGGGAGCTGTGTTGCCTTTTGTGGCCTACCCTCCAAAGTTAGGCAGCATCAACGCCACTGCCTTTCTCCATTGGGGCAGCTGTAAATGTCCACCCAGGTTTTGGAGAAGGGGACATAGGTGTCCCCCATGCCACTCACCCACTAAGAGAGTATCAACATTCCACTGAAAGGACAGCAATTCAATGTGGTAAATAGCATGGGGACGGGGGAGATCTTGCTGTACTCATCTTTGGAGAATGCAATCTACCACAACTAGTATTTGTTAAGTTAATGGTGGGGCACAGCACAGCCTCATCTATTTCCCAGGAAGAATGAAATGGATGCTTTCTAGGGGATAGATGGGCTCCCCTAAAAGGACAAGCTAAAGATACCCCTACCTTAGATAAATCAAACTCTCCCTTAACTCATAGGATGTTTGAGTTGATAGGGCTCCTCAGAGGCGAGGAGAGCCTTCCTTTCTGGCTATGGCATGCTGGGGCTAGGAGATCATGCAGCTGGTAGAAACTTCTGCATCATGGTCCATCTCAGCAAGGGAGGGTCCAATTGCCACCACTGGGCTGGGTTGTCAGTTCTGTGATGTCAAGTCTGGAGGGGTCTTAGACTATGACCAAGGACTCCACAAGCCTTGAGCCCTCCATTCATATCCAGGACTCCCCACACTTCCATTGCCAAAGCCTTCCAAGCTGGGGGAAGTTTTAGACAAAGATCAGGATTTAAGCCACAAGGGGCTGTTCTGGTGGGTGGGGAATTCTGGGACCCCACATCCTGTTTTTCTTCCTTCCCCTCTGCTGCGTGCTATGACCTGGAGAGATTGTGCCCTGCTGAAACCAGGTTCCCCTTCCTTTGCCATTTTCCTGACCCAGATGCAGCTAAATCATGGAAGGGAATCTGAGTGCCTCCTTGTGACTTAAGGGGATAAAGACAACACCCAAGCAACCAAAGCGTGGAAACAGAACCACTCCATCATCCCAAGGAATAGAGACCTGAGAATGGCTAATGCCAAAAGGGGGGGCATGGAAGAGAAGGGTGAGCAGGCTCGGTTTTATTGAAGAGGTGCCAGGGTTTGTAGGGAGATTCTTGGGTTCTTCCACCTCAATCTAATATTAGTATTAGCAGCCAACACTGCTTGGGCACTTACTATATCTAGGCACTATGCTAAGCCCTTGGCATGCCTTTTCTCATTGATGCTTCACTCTGCTTTATGGGATGCTGTTACTTTCTCTGTATTACAGAGAAGGAGAGGAAGCTCAGACATCCAGAGCAAAACCCTAGGAAGTAAGAGAGTAAGTTTGTAATAGACCTGAAATTCAACTTAGGAGTCTCTATTGCAGAGACTTAAGCCACTTCCTTGTGTGGCTCCAAGAGGCTCTGTTTATCCTCCTATAAAATGGGAATGTCTGAGGATGTCATCCCCTATGTCACCTTCATATTTAAGATTCTAAATGTACAGATGCCATTCTGGAAACTTGCTTAAATATATCTAAGAGGGCCCATTCTATGGAGTTGAGGCTGGATAAAAGCACGGAATGATTTCCTGTTCCTTTCTGTTTCATGAAACTTAGCTTAGGTCAGAAAACTCATATTTGAAAAAAAAAAAAAAAAAAAAAAAAAGAAAACTCATATTTGCTTTGGGCAAATGAAGGAAACAGATACATTGTAAAAATTATTTAGATTTTCAAGGCACCAGCTTGGGTGGGGAAATGCTGGATTTAAATTCCCAAGCTCAGGTTTGAATCCCAGCCTTGCGACTTAGCACTTTTGTGATCCCGGGCACACTTCTTTGGGCTTTGGATTCCTTGTCTCAGGACTAGAGATGGGATTGTATGAACTTCCCTAGACTGCTGTGGGAACTCAACAGACCCAGCATGTGCACACACCTACAACCATTCCTGGCACATGATAGGCGCTCAGTCATGGCTCAGCCATTCATTCCTCCAGTGAAGCCGGGAAGAGAGATTATTCCTTTACATTGCTTCCAGCAGAGATGGTCAAGAATCTTGCCTTTAACTGTACTCTCCATAAAAGTTCACTCATAAACTATTGATATTTTAATAATACACATTAGTATCTTGCCCTTTGACAAATGAATATTGAATGAGCAATAAAGAGGCAAAAGAGTAACCAGGTGTACTGTGTGCAGAGAAGCTGGGATCTTAGGTGGTGGTCCAAGGGAATGTCCTCCTTCCAGAGACTCCTCCCCAGTGACCCCTGGGAAACAGCTTTTAAGAAGAGCTCAGGATCTAGCCTGCCCAGCCCAGTCTGAGCAGGATTTAGTCTTGTTTTTTCCTTCACTTGCCTGGAGGGGACTTGGTTGAAGAGAGCACAGGTCATTCAAGAGCTACTTAAAAGAGTGGATGTTTGACCCCATGTCGAATATCTTGGGTCTGCCCATTATCTTTGCTAAAGATACAGGTTTCCTCCTCACATCCTCCCTCCTCTCTGTAAATTAAAAGTCTACAGACATCAGACAGTGTGCCCTCGAGAAATCAGGCAGTGAGCCTAGGAAACACAGACTAGTTCCACCTCCCTCTCCATGCGCCAGACCAGGTCTTGATGGGAGCCTATGCTTGGGGTGTGTGCTAAAGTCTCAAAGACAGAGTTTCCTGCCTCCTCCAGCTTCTGCTGCCAGCCCCTCTGCCACAGCCTCTGGTTCCTCACAGCCTCCGTCTGCACTGGGAGTCCTTGAGTGCGGTGACAGGGGCTCTTCGTTGGTCCGGCTTAATTGGTGTGATTTAATGGCATTTCTGGCGGATTCAGATTTATACGGCTTTCTGAGCTGCAAATCTGCTTTCTAAATGTAGAATTTTTGTGGAGTGGTAAAAAATAATGGCTGTTCTGTGATTCCTGCCTCCTGAGCTAGGAGATTGCAATTTACATTATGCAAATAGACATTATGCAATCAAGGCACTTTAGCAGGAATCTGGTGGCGAAGAGGCCGCTGATGAGATGCCGAGGTCTGCAGCCCCAACTGGAGGCACCCCCCCCCACCAAGAGCAAGATGAATTGGGGAGGGGGTGGGCTAGGCCAGGGGGAGGGGGCAA